TTCATTAAGGGTAGTATTGTCAACTTGCTATCATTTTACTCCTATTAAACGTTGTAGTACTAACATAAATACAATTATTCATATCATTATATTCAGCGTCGTAAAGGCTAGCTCTCACCTACGAAGTGCAATTATTCATATAAGAATCTTTTTATGTTAATTTTATTTTGAACGTAAAGCTTCAGATTATGAGATTTTATTTTGAATAAGATGCTCTCTTAAAGAAAAAGATGTGCCCAAGAAAGCAAATTTGGAATCTCTTGAAATAGTCAAATTTGAAAGATGTGCCCAAGAAGCTACTCTTTGAATTACTCTGGTATTAGACAAAATGTGATCACACCTCTGCCTACACATGGGTGTTTATCACCTAGGAAATTGACTACTACGCATTTGTAACTAAAAAAATTATAAGAAAATATTTAATTCATTTAAAGTGGGAGCCGCACCAATTATAAGAAAAAAATATAAGAAAATCTTAATCCATAGTTAATCTCATCGCTATGCTATCTTTTTCTATAATTTACAATTTTAAAGTGGGAGCCGCACCAAGGTGTTGTGAGAACTCCATGAATGAAAACCGGTTCAATCCTCTTCCTCATCAACCTCTTTTCAACAATTTTAAAGTGGATCGGCATCATCAAGTTGTGTATTTATTGATATTTTTCAAAAGTTTAGAAACACAAATTTTAAAGACAAAAGAGATTATAAACTTACCAACAAAACATAAAGTTTGTTGTAAACAATATTAGCCTTTTAGATCATCTCCAACAATCACCAAGAGCCCGTTTGGTAGCACGAAAATCGACTGTTTTGGCTGATTCTGCTGAAATTTATGAAGTTCTGGCTGAAGTGGCTGCATTGGCCGATTCTACTGATACAAGAAAAAATATTTTTAAAATATATTTTATTAATAAAATAAAGAAAAAATTATATGTAAAAATAGCTAAATTGATCATCTACAGTAACTTCAGCCAATACAGTCAGAAAAGTAACTTCAACCTTACTTTTTCGGCTTATTACACAATTCAACACGCGAAAGCAAAATTTACGTGTTTGGTAAAAAAGTTGGCTGATAAGCCTGATAAGCCGAAAATGATGGTTGCCAAACAGCCTCCAAATGTTTCACCAAAATGGGGGATTTGACATTTTTTTGCTCCAACAGCTACACCAAATGCATCATCATTTCACTAAAATGGGGGAGAGATATTTTGTTTACGCCATATATGGCGCAAGGAAAAGCTTGCGCTATCTTCCTTTTTTAATTTTTTGTTATTTCAAAAATGACCCGAAGTGTTGAACTATTATAGTATGGCTCATTTTGTTTAGCATCTTCGGATGTTCCTTCTATTTAGAACCCACGGTTGTGTACTATATAAAGGATCGGACCAACATATTTCTCTTTCATAATTTAATTGTTAAATTTAATAAAACTGGTTACAATAACAAATTTAATTTTTTTATTTAAATTATAAAGTTGATAAAAAAATACTGATTAATGAGTGAAATATGCATAAAATATTGATTATGGTAGTATTTTAGTTTGTACGTAATACGGAGTATTTCGTATTTGTTAAATAATGAGTGAAATGCCAATATAAATATTAAATGATGGGCTAATGTATAAATATATGATAATTAGATAATTAAATTTAATAATGGTAAAAAGTTAGTAAAACGAATAAAAAAGAATATTCCTTTTTGGTGATAAAAATGGTGTAAACCGTTAGAGATAAAGTATTGTATGATGTGATGTTTACACCATTTTAGTGATAAAAATGGTTTAAAATGGTCATTTTAGAGATGGCCTTATAGAGAACGTGCGGTCTTGAGTCCACTTACCTCAGCTCCATCCATTCTGCAGTTCAATGTCAAAGGTATATACTTCGTATTTTTATCTGATCTATTGACAATTTCAGGAATAAATAATTCATTTTCGCTTGCTTACCCGATATTCCGATAATCAAGAACTACTATCCATTAATTAATACGATAACTCTGCATAATGTTTTTATTCCATATAAACTGCTCTATTATTAGAAAATAAAATAACACCAAACATGCAAATGATGCTCTTACTTATTTCCTCTGTATCGCATTAGTTGCAACATTCTTTTTTTCACGTTTGTCAACACACAACTTTGACCATCATTATATTTAATTTTGTATCAGTAAATTAAAAATAAAAATCATATTATGAATCTTAGTAATGAGACGAACTCAATAATATTTTTTTTAAAAAATATATTCACATGCATTAATAAATAAAATATAGTCAAAGTAAAGTACATTACTAGTGTGAAAATTGCAATATTGCAACTAATACGATACGGATGATAGTATAATATACAAAGTATAAAGGTGCAACTAAAAATTGATGAACAAAAAATATTAGCTCTTTAATTTGTCATGAAATATGATTACGTACAAATATACAATCTGGAATTCTGGATATGAATCACGCCATATATACTTAAGACAGTATATATGGCGTGATTCACTTGCTTATTTCTCATGTTCACTTGCTTTGACCAATATCTTTAATCATATGCATGCGGACCATTTTAATGGTTTGTTATTTTAGATGATTGTTGATTAGAAGAACACATGCTCAACAATACTTTATATACAGGGTTTTAAATGCTTAGAAATGAAGACCTATATGAGTATATATTGGGAAACCAAACGTTCCAATTTAATTTCTTCCCAAAGTTATTACGGAGCATTTAATGTGAACTGTATTGGTCCCAGTTTTAAAGCAACAACATGTTACTCGTACTGCTTATTTAATAGATTCAACCATCATTTACTCTACGCCGTATTCATTTACGGATACGGAGTATTTCTTATGAAGTTTCTAGTTAGTTAATATGTTGTCAGGATTCCTTGAGTTGCACGTTGTAGTTTTTGGCGGGAACTTGCTCAGCAAGTTTTCTTTTGCTTTTATATAGTAATAGATGTGCAAGTTTTCTCAGCAAGTTGTCAGGAGATTTCCTTCACATAGGTACAAGTGTACAACTGTAAAAAAATTGTAAATTAAAGATGTGCAATTCTTTTATTGGGATAAGACTTTTAAGATAACACTTACAAATTCAAAGAGGCATGCACCATTCATAGCTCTCAACAAAAAAATACCATACACCAACAAATAAATACCAAAAAAAATACCACTCCAACCCCAAAACTCCAAAAACAATTGTAGTATTTTTTTAGTTTTCTTTTTTTTACTCCAGGGGGCTGGGGGAGGAGGGCTAGGGGGTCTGGAGTAATCAGGGCTGAAACTCACTTCATTGAGTTTCAAACCCTTATATGTCTAGCGGATTTCGAACTCGATACCTCTCACTAGGCACGGTAACCTCACAATCAGCTGGACCGGAATGCTTTATTAAAAAGTTTGGACCATTTCTCGATTTGTGCATGTCCCCGAAGGGACATATGTAGTATATATAGTCATAAACTTTTATTATTGTTGATGTAGTATTGGCATTTTTATTAAGAGTAATATTGCCATTTTTAACAAGAATAATATTGTCATCTTTAGTAAGAGTAATATTGCCATTTTGATGAATGATTTTAGTGCCATATAAATGGCATTATTTGTAAAATTGTCAATAGGTACACGTATATTGTCAATAGTAAAATTATCATACAAATGACATTATGGCATTTTTATTAAGAGTAATATTTCTATTTTTAACAAGAATAATATTGTCATCTTTAGTAAGAGTAATATTGCCATTTTGATGAATGACTTTAGTGCCATACAAATGGCATTATTTGTAAAATTGTCAATAGGTATACGTATATTGTCAATAGTAAAATTGTCATACAAATGACATTATTAGTAAAATTCGTATATGTTTAACCAAAGTAATATTATCATCTTTAACAAGAGTAATATGACATCATTAATAAGAGTAATATTGCCATTTTTATAAATAACTTTATTGCCATGCAAATGACATTATTTGTAAAAAAAACCTTCAAAAACATGGCACTTACTACCTTCTTGGTAAAATGACATTATTTCTAAATAAGACTAAAATCAATGTCATTACCTGGGAAAAATAAAAACAATACATTAGCAACTTTCAAATTCAAAAATAGTGTCAGGGGCGGACCGTAGTACAGACCCAGGGGGATTACCGCCCCCGCCCCCCAACAAGATTTTTTTAGTGTATATATATATATGAAAAATAATTTTCTCCCTCCGAAAAAATATTTTGAACCCCCCAAAATATGATTAAATGACTTTATTTCTCAATCAAGTATGATATAAGTGCTATTTGCTAGGAAAGTATAACAATAGTATATATACAATTTCAGATTTAGAATTAGTGCAAAAAGGCATAAGTTTTCAAAATAACATTTTCATATTGAATACTATTGTATATAATTCTCTGTATCATACTGTAAGAGCAAAATCAATATTAAATTTCAAACTAAAGGAACAATAAAAATTAATCAAATCAGTCACACAAATAATCTCGAAAATCTATTACAATCGAAAACAAAAATAATTTGAGACCCTTATGAAATTGGTGGAAATCCATATATAATAATTAATTTAAAATCAAAATGAAGGAAACATAAACAAATTTATCAAGAATTGAATAATAATGAAGGAAAACAGAGGAGGAGAGGAGGAGGGGGAGAAAAAGAAAATTGAAATTTAGACAACCCTGTCCCCAACAGTTTTAGAGTCCGTTTGGTAACACTGGAATCCGCTTATTCGGCTAATTCTGTTGGAATTTATGAATTTCTTGCTGAAGTGGTTGTATTGACTGATTCTGCTGATTTATGAAAAAAATTATGTTTAAAATATATTTTATTAACAAAATAAATAAAAAATAGCTAAAATGATTACTTACGGTAACTTCAGTAAATATAGTTAGAAAAATAACTTTAACATTACTTTCTCTAAGGTATAATTCGAGTTTGCACCCAATTTTATCGTTCAAATTTGATTTTGCATCCCGTTTTTAAAAATCTTTATTTTTGCAGGGCAAAAAATGTCACTGCATCCACTATTACGTTTGCTTCTTGATAAGTCGGAAAACGGAGTTAACCAACCAGCTCTTAATTTCTTACCAAAGGGACTCTAATCTGGGGGCCATTCATACTTATCTCCTCTCGATCTCTCCAATTACGCCTAACGCCTCCGAACTTCTGATTGATTGTAGGTGATCCTCGATACCCATACATTATTCGACGATTCCATCTATCTACAGGTATTTTTCATTTTCATCTTTGGTGCTTCAACTCCAAACTTATGGAATATTCTCAAACAAAATATATGAAAAGCACTGAATTATACGAACCCTAGTGACGATCTGCTATCTGCTTTAAAGGAATCCTTCGCCTATCTATCAGCCCCAGGTCGATCCTCAACTATTTACGTCATACCTTCCCTATCTGCTTTAAGCCATACCTTCATTCTCGTCGGGTCGCCTGAATTCTGAGGTATGTCCTCTCAAAATAAATTCTCTGGTTGAACGATCTGCGCAAACATTCAGAAAAAAAATCTGGATTTCCTTTTCTCTTTATTCGTGTTAATCTCGAATTCTCGATTTAATCTTACATATAGTTCTGGAGCTAGTTTCTAGACAATATTATTATTCGAATATTTAGATGTGAATTTTCAATCTGTGGAGGAACTGTGCTTAGAAATTCGTATGCTTCCAGTCTGTAACTCTCTTATTAAATTTAATACTATAATCAAAATTTGTTTCATTTGGATATTTTTAACCACTAATGAACCTTTTTTCAATTTCTCACTGGACCATTTAATTTGGGTTTTTGTAATTAACTTGTTGTTCTCTGGAGCATTTTATATGAATTCACCTGCTTTTAAATGTCTTGAGCATTTCAGTTGTTTTTCCTATTCTTTCTGCAAGCTCCGGAGTTTTTAATTTGGATTTTTTCATCATAAACGACATAGTTATTTAGCCTAAAATTTGGATAATTGTTAATTCTTGAAATGATATGTGAAACTTAATACACCGAGATAATATTGACTCACAATTATTGAGATTAATCATTTTCTTTTGTATTTTAATTTTAAGTCATGCATTATTTTTTTCAAAAGTTTGGGCATATAGTATGTTTATGGATATGCTCTCCTTCAATTATTTTAATCATTAAATAATTCTTTGTTTGGTGATGTGTTCATTGAAGTGTGAATTTAAATATTGTCATTTAAATAAACATAATGATGTTTTTAAAAAAAAAACTTTATGATGTGTACAAGTAAATATTGAAGTAATCTTTTCAAGGAAAATGACAAAGCAACTAATAATCTAAACAATAAAAAACATGAGACACAATGTAGTGAATGTACTATTATGGTTCATACAATGGAAAAGGGGTACATGTGTAATTTTAATTATATCTCCTCCAAACCCCCTCTTCTGAAATCTGCAACTCCCAAACAAGAGGAAGGAATCCCTTCCCATCGCTCTTCCCCCAAACTCCCAAACATACCCTAAGTGATTTTTTGGATCTATATACATAGCTTCATTTTGCTTGCCATAATTTTCTTGGTATAAGCTGAGATTGTCTGCGTTCTTCCTGTCACTATATGTGGATTTACATAAACTTATTTACTGTGCGTGTGTTGATGACAAGGAGTTATTAATTTGTGAGACTCTACTTGGATTTTGAGCATTTCAGTGAAATTACGATAGATAGCAATGGTGTTCTTCAGATGCGTTTCTCTTATGTCAAAGTTGCGCTCCCGAGCTGTAAGATACATATAGCTTGTGGGTTTAAATTATTTCATTGAAAATATAATGCTTATTGTTGATTTCTGTAGTTTGATTTGAAGTTGTATTCGAATCTTAGGTTCAGCAGCCTAGTCTATGCAATTATGTACGCTGGCTACAAGTTCAGACCTCTTCTGATCTGGTAAGTGTTGTTTGTGATGTGTCGATCAGGCTTCATGTTGTCTTTGTTTAGTATCGGTTAGATTTTACTTTTAGAACTGTGCTGCTAAAATATTGCTTAGAAATGAATTCAGAGCACATGGAAGCATTGCCTCCCCCAGCAATACAATTTTTCTTTTATTTTTGGGTTTCAGTTTTAAATTTCTTGCATGTGCATGGAACTGGTGATCTGTGATTATTTGAAGCTCTGCTAACATGATGACGTCCTTTATTTAAATAGGACCTCCGCTCGCAGCTGCAGGAATTGATTCCAGAACAGCAGGTTGTCATTATCTTACTCTAGCAGTTCTACATACGTCATTCAGATCATATCTCTTTTTAGTAAGCCAACCAATTATTTTTGTTCATTTCTAGCAGTGGCTGCATTAGTGTTTCTTGACTAGTAATGTCGTATGTCGATGCTTTATGTGTGGGCTTGTACTCCTTTTTCTCGAGTCTGAGAAGTCTGCCCTTCTCCTTTTAATAGAGTGTAGTATTTTTCTTACTTAGATTATACACAATAACGCATTGCTCTCTCATGTGTTCTCACAGGAACGTCTCAAGAAAATCAAGTCAGAGCATGGGAAAGTTCAACTTGGAAATATCACAGTAGATATGGTAAAGATTTCCTTAGCTTTTTTGTTATTGTGAGGGATGCATAAAAACAATTTCAAGGATTGTTTGTAAAAAATTCTCATTGTGTTTTATCATTTCTTTTGTAGGTAATTGGTGGTATGAGAGGAATGACTGGATTGTTGTGGGAGACATCATTGCTTGATGCAGATGAGGTATGTACTATGGTCTTTCCTGAAAGGTCTGCTATGTGATATTTGTGATGATTTGATCTCTAATAGTGCAAGCAGTTCAGGTTGGTAATTCCTTCATTTTATTAATCCATTTTCTCAATTCTACCAGGGCATCCGCTTTAGGGGATTGTCTATACCTGAGTGCCAGAAGTTACTACCTGCTGCAAAGCCTGGCGGAGAGCCTTTGCCTGAAGGTCTCCTCTGGCTTCTCCTAACAGGAAAGGTAAGTGTTGGTGGCAATTTTGAAAGGATGAAAGCATAAACTAGACCTACCAATCTCCAACCTGCTCTTGTCCCCTCCTCATTTTTTTCTTTTTTCTAAATTATATATTTTCTGAGAAGTGAGAACTGAAATCTGCCAGGGTAAGACGGACTTTTTTGTCAAGTTCTCTTATTTGATGCTTACTGGCTGTTACAGGTGCCATCAAAGTCACAAGTGGATTCCTTATCTCAAGATTTGAGAACCCGTGCTATTGTTCCAGGTAATATGACCTTCAGTAACTCATTGTTATGACAATCCAGAAAATATATTTACATATTCTTCTGTCTGGTTGCAGATCATGTATATAAAACCATTGATGCCTTACCTGTTTCGGCTCACCCAATGACTCAGTTTGCTACGGGTGTCATGGCTCTTCAGGTAATATGTCAACTTATTTGTACTATATTCTGTATTTACTATTATATTCTCAATTCAATGTGTGTATACTGTATACTCAACTGTTATGTTAAATGTGTGTGCTTGGCATGACTACCATGCCTAAGCCAACAGATAGCGGTACCTTTTTTATTGGTTTCATTGTAGAAGCTCTATGTTGAAATTCTTTGTATGGTTATTTTTAAATTTGCAGGTTTGTAGTGAGTTTCAGAAGGCATATGAGAATGGACTACACAAATCAAAGTGAGTTTGCTCTTGCCAATGTTCTGATTAGAAGTTATTGTCGGACATTTTAAAGCATTTACATATAATTTTTCTTTTAGGTACTGGGAATCAACTTATGAGGACTCCCTCAATTTGATTGCTCAAGTCCCACTTGTAGCATCATATGTATATCGCAGGTCAGATAACCTTTATAAAACAATTCATGATATAGGTTTAGTTATTGTACTCTCTATGTGTGCCCTTATGTAATGTCTTGTCTATAATGTTCACTTAAACTTCGTTAACTCTTGTGAAGGATTTACAAGAACGGCCATGTTATACCAAAAGATGACAACCTGGATTATGGTGCAAACTTTGCACACATGTTAGGTTTTGATAGCCCTGATGTGCATGAACTTATGAGGCTCTATGTTACCATTCATAGGTGATGAATACTCAAATATTTATAATAATTAGTTTGGCATTTTATATTTTAGTTGAGCTGGCCTTGTAGGAGGCATTCTAACCCTCCAAATGCCATACAGTGATCATGAAGGTGGAAATGTTAGTGCTCACACTGGCCACCTGGTAAATTTTACTTTATTAGTTCCTGATCTACAATATGTTTATTAATTATTGCTCTGTCCCAAGAAAAGACTCTTGCTTGATTAAAGTAGGCATTTTAATTTTAGCCAACTCAATCAAGGCACAAGCTTTTACAAGTTATGAATGGCCTGTTCTATATTTCCATCTTGCTGCTTGGCTTTATCGGGATTGTACTAAAAATGAAGTTGACTTTTAAAGCTGGACTTTTTGTTTTTGACAAAAAGTTTTTGATACGGAATTCTGATTTTGGGACAAAATGTTGAAAGGGACTATGTTTAATGATGAAGTATATTTGGCAAGTGCGGAGTCCGGATTTATATCTTAGTCTTAATTGTTCTTTTTTCATCTACCTTTGATGACTTGTTTGATTAGGTTGCCAGTGCCCTTTCAGATCCTTACCTCTCATTTGCAGCGGCGTTGAATGGTCTAGCTGGTCCCCTCCATGGTTTGGCTAATCAGGTGATTTTACTGCTATTTCACTTTTCAGTGTATTTATTTAAATTCCCACTCTGTCATAAACACTTCACTTTTCTTAAAAGGAAGTTATTGATTTTCTTGATTTCTTAAAATTGTTGTGATACTCCAAATGTAAATGAACACTTCAAAAATAAACATGAATTCAAGATTAGGGAAAAACAATAAATGCAAATGTAATGGTTTACAAATGTGAGAGGATTTTCATTGTGCTCACTCGTTGCAAGCAATAACAGGAAGTGTTATTATGGATCAAATCAGTTGTGGAGGAGTGTGGGGAGAACATATCCAAAGAGCAGCTCAAGGACTATGTCTATAAAACCTTAAACAGCGGCAAGGTAGTATACATTTTATAATTAAAGGCAGCTTTTGCTTCACAAGATCAAATCAATTAAAGTATCTCTTCTGGTCCACTATAAATTACAGGTTGTACCTGGATTTGGGCATGGAGTTCTGCGCAAGACCGACCCTAGATATACATGTCAAAGAGAATTCGCATTGAAGCACTTACCTGAAGACCCACTGTTTCAGCTGGTTATAACTTGAGCCTTGAATATGCCTTTTCCCCTTTGTAGTTTCTTTTATCTTCTCCTATGAAAATGCTCCAACCAACTTGTGTTTTGGGTGTAAACTCCCATTTGTAGGTTTCAAAGCTTTATGAAGTTGTTCCTCCTATCCTTACTGAACTTGGCAAGGTAAATTGTCCCATTTGTGTGGTGGGGTTTTTTCTAGCTTGAAGCCTACAGTGGTAGGTTTTTATTTAATGGCAAAGCCAAATATTAGTCGGTAATAACGACACACTACATACTCTCTTCGCTTATGAATAGGCATTACACTTTAGCTTTGCATAGGCATTACACTTTAGCTTTGCACAGGAATAAAGACAACTATTGAATGTCATTCATTTCAAGGCAATTTGAATGTCCTGTGCTCTAATTTATATTTCGTTTTGGCCTTAAATTGTCCCATAATACTTTTCAGTCTTAGGAATTCAAGACATTTTTTTTGTAATTAAATGTCCTCTTTAGCTTCTTATATAAATGAGAAATAAAAATTTGGACCAGGGGGTACGATATAGGGTTATGAATAAGGGTACGATATTGTGCTAAATTTAATAGAAAACGAAGAATCTCGGATGGGGGATATGGATTGAAATCTTTCTTAATTTTCATAATTAAGTTAGCTGAATATGTCTTAAAATGGAAAATAATCAATTAATGATTAGTGAAATTTCTAATATGTACTTATTTAGAAACAATTTCTGTTAATCGATGTTACACATGTAAATCTGAAGCAGCAGAAAGTTTTAGATTTGTAGTGAAGTCGTGATAACCCAAGATGGGGTGTGTCTGAGCTGTTACTATTGTGGCATCCAATCAAATATGCAAATTTATTATTAATACTATATGTACCAGACTACCAGTTTCTGAACATGCATGTATGCAACAATATGTATCATGAGTTATTGAATTTACAGGTGAAAAATCCGTGGCCCAATGTTGATGCACATAGTGGGGTGTTGTTGAGCTATTACGGTTTATCTGAAGCTAGGTATTGATTGATTCTTTTTTTTCCTTCAGGAAGTTGTTTCAAGCTTGTGATATATGAACCGCAATTGATAAATCACGCTGGACTTTATTTTTCTATGCAGATACTATACAGTCCTCTTCGGTGTATCCAGAGCTATTGGCATTGGCTCACAGGTACTCTTCTACCATAATAATACCCCTCTGCCTTGGTATTTCTACTCCATTACTATCAATCTACACTCATGACTCATAGCATAGCGGGGGGCTTATCCACCCCAATTTTGTTAAGATTTGTTATTTCATGTGTAATTTTTTGGGTAAAAAAGAGAAACACAAGAACGATTTCTGAAGAGTTTCTTAGGGCGCTGTGTTTAAACCCCGGAAGATGTAAGGGGAAGGGAGGGAAATGACAAGGGGATTATGCTCTCAATGTTTAGTTTCAACTTAGAAAATACGAAAGTTAATCAAATTTGAGAAAATTCATATGCTTAGATTTATTAGCCTTCTTATTACAGAAATAATGAATAATAATAAGTTTGAACAAAAATCTAAAATTTATTTATTCAAGTTATTCTCGCCTAAAGTTATTTCCTTCTAAATCTCCTTTCCATTTTCTTTGCTTAACATTTTCCTAAGGTTTTTTTAAACATTTATTAGATACGGAACTGCCACCTCCCAAGAGTTTACTTGCGTCACAACTTGTATATAAATATTCCTTGAGAAACTTATATAGTTTCCTTTTTTCAGCTGATATGGGACCGAGCTCTTGGATTGCCATTGGAGAGACCAAAGAGTGTGACGATGGAGTGGCTTGAAAATCACTGCAAGAAAGCATCTGGTGCTTGAATTCTCTTTTTGCACTGAATGCATCATGCATTCCGATGTTTTTTGTTTTAATAAATGCTTAACTTATACGATCCCCTTCTAGTTCTTCAGCTAGATTTCACCTTTCCACCAAAGAAGCATTTATACCATATACATTTTTGCCTTTTACACCAATTTTCTACTATTGTTATTTGCATAGGTTTTTTAGTGATTCATTGGGTGATTAGCATCCTGAGTTGGTTCTTAGAGCTGGAATAATGTAAACGCTAACATATTTGCAATTTGCAAATACGCAAACAATGGTTTGAATTTGAAATGTGAAAATGATATGAGAATGAAGAGTTATATCTTAATTGTGATATTGCATGTTCAAATATATTGAAATGGTTACGATTACCAAATAGTTGTGGTATCATTTTCTCTCATATAAAGGTCAACAAGCTACACAAGAGCTACGATTGAAGTTGGATTTGTAAGCTCGACTTTATAAGTTATTTTTGTATTAGATTGTTATATTTAGGGGTGGGCAAAAAGAACCGTAACCGCGTAACCGTTAAAAAATACCGAATAACCATCATTTTTCTGGTTAATCGTATCGTTTTTTAAAACAATCCACGGTACAGTTAACCGACCCAAGAAAATAAGGTTTCCCGGTCGGTTCATCGTTTTGGAATTGATTAGCATCGGTTTACCGAAGTCTAACCTAGCCGCTCCACGGGTCCAGAGAAAACAATGATTTCTTCTTCCATCTTCCTCCAGAGCCGCTGATTTAATCTAGGCGATTTAATCTCTTTTGCTCCGCTTCACCCAATTTCATATGATGCTGCGTGTTTGAAGCTACCTGGATTGATCACGAGTCAACCAAGGTCTGTTCTCAACATATATAGTCAACCAAGATTTTCTCCGGGCTTAGAGCTCAGGGAAACTTTAAACTTCCTAAGCACTGCGATAACAACGAGGTCTTGAAGGCTCTCTGTAGAGAAGCTGGTTGGGTTGTGGATGAAGATGGCACTACCTATCGCAAGGTTATAATTTCAGTTTCGTTTATTCTTTATTCTAATGCTTCTAGCATTTCTGATCTCAGATCTTTGCGAATTGCAAGTTTCCCTTTATAATCAAAATACGATTTTTGATTGTTGAGGTGAATTGGAGTTGTGGGAGCAACCTAAAATGAACATAGATGTGCTTTAGTTTTTAAACATTTTTAATTTAGAGGTATACTCGTGCTTAGCTCTCCTACGTATAAATAGTCTTGCTCGCTAGATGTTTGATAGAAATCCTCTCAGATTAATCTGTGCGAAGCAATAACCATTGGGCGGAATTAGGATCTCCACCCGTTGGCTCCATAAAATCCTTTCTTTTACTTCCAAGATGCTGACTTTTTTTTTATGGTGATCCACAACGAGATCTCCAGTTGAGTTCATGGTCTGCTAAATCTTTCTGCACCTGAAGAGGGATGCATATTTTGTATCCTTTTCTTGGTTCAAGGAATGCTACTTACTCGATAACAGCAACATCTAAGCCTTAGTCCCATAAGATTACTCTGATGGGGTCAACGAATAGTACTTACTCTGATGCAAAGAAATAGAATTAGCCGATCCTTGTAAACAAAGTTAGTGTAAAAAGTTCTAGACCGGAGTAACTGGTACTAGACAGGGTAGAATTGAGCAGACATAAGACGGGATTAATCTGGGTGAAGTGTGCATACTTACAACATGCTAATCTGTGCTTGTCAAATTGTTTAATAGTTGAAGCCTGCTTTTGTCCTAAGCAATTGTGAAAGTCATATGAGTCCTATGCTCCTACCTCTGCAGCAGGCAGTATGTTCTGGAAAAAATTGAGCAGTCATAGGTTCTGATTTTTTTCTTCTTTCAAGCAGCAACAAGTTCCATTCAATTTTAATTCTAAGGGTCTCATTATTTCAGCTTCTTTCACTTGGATAGCTTAGTTCTTTACCCTTTAGTTGCTCTACTTTAGGCATTGCTAGTTGCTCTAGATTTTTTTTTTCTCAATTGATATTGGTATCTTATTTTATTTTTGTAGGGAAATGAAACAAATCTTGAAGTTGAAGACGTGTTGTGGACTTGAGCTGCTTATTTTTTTTTTTTTTGCTTTGGAGAGAAATTATAAAAATTGATTTAAACCGAGAGTTTTATATTGGAGATTTGTTTCGTATATCAGTTCTAGTCTATGCAGTCATGTATTTGTTAACACCACCGTATTCTTGTATTTCTATTATCTTCTTCAATTCAAAACTTGATCTATTTATGGATTTTTTATTATGATCATAGAGTTTAGAAAATTATTTTCAGTTATGGTTTTCGGTTAACCGGTTTGTGGTTAATCGAAGTTTTGGTTAACCGATACTTCGGTTAACCGAAGTAATCAGTTTCGCGGTTAACCAGAAAGTTGGTTAACCAAAACCTGGTTAACCAACCATGCCCACCCCTAGTTATATTTTGTGTTGATTTACTACTACATTACCATGACATATTTTATTATTGAGACTTGAGAGTTTATGGAGAAAGAATGAACACCGCTAACATTATAAAATGTTGAACTCTTTAAGTGGGAAAATGGGTGTAATTAAATGGGTGATCATTCACCCTCAACTCCTCAATTCTCTCCTTTGCGAGAGGTCTTGATATCAATTCTCACCCATGGGAGATGAGAGTAGGGGTGGATTCGGTTCGGGCCACCCGGCCAGGCCCGGTCTGGCGGTCCGGGACCGGGTGTATACCCGAACCGGGGGGGGGGGGGGGGGGGGGGGGGGGGGCGAGGCGGGCTCGGTTCCGTCAAAAGATGACCCGGCCGGGTCGGGTCCGGGTCTAACAATCATTTTTTAATTTTTTTTCCCTTTTGGGCCACAAAGAGCCGTTGGGAGTGGAGTGGCCTGGCAGGGGGTCCGGGCGGTTTGGGGGTGGGGGAGGTGGGGGGTGGGGGTGGGGTAAAAAAAATTGTAAATACTCCTAATCTTAAACATTTTTTCATCTCTTCCTAATTCCTACACTCTACTCTCTAATTATTATCTTCATATTCATCTTCTCAATTTCTCTTATTCTCCAATATATTATATACGAAGTATATACTTATATTATTATCTACTTATAAATACATATATTTACATTACTTATATTTCTTATCTACTTATATATTAATTATCTACTTATAAATACATATACTACCTCCGTCCCTTGAAACTTTGCCAAAGGTTACTGGCACGGAGAATAATAAAGTAAATACTGTGTGGTTGAGGTTTGTGCAGAGGAGAGAGAAATAACAGAATTCACAAAATAATTGATTAAAAGGGAAAGTGGCAAAGTTTTTTGGGACGTCCCAAAAGGGAAAGATGGCAAAGTTTTAAGGGACGAAGGGAGTATTATATTAAGATGGAAGGTGGTAGATATTCGGTTGATATGGGTAACCTCGACCGCAACCGAAGGAACGAGATTGCGAGGAAGAGATCCCGCAAAGGTAAATCACATATCGGCTCTTCATCTCAAAGCCGAGATGATTTTGATACGGGTTACGCAAGGAGGGATGGGGATGCGATGACTGACGAACAACTAGAACAAGAATTGCACCGACATAATAGCCGCTTTTTCCAAGACCAACCGAGGACCATTGACGAAGAAGAGCTCGAGGACGACGATGTGGAGGAAGTAATTCCGGAGAGCCACGACGACGCGTCGACGACGCGGAGGAGGGTGGCGGCAGCCACGACGCCGAGGAGCTTGCCTCATCCCAAACTGGTACGAAAAAAAGTAAATCTGAACTAATGGCTAATAATTTTTCTAAGTGGAAGGATCCGAACACCGGGAATTGGACCGCAACTTGCAATTGGTGCAAGAAAAATTATAGCTTGGGGATTTCCAGCGGATACGGATCCACCGCGAGGCATCTTAAGGCCAAACACCCGGTGAAGTATGCAAAATTAGGCGGCGGAACGGGGAAGCAAACTCAAATATCGAGGTTTGCAAATAACCAACAAGCTGTTGGTAATTTTTCATACAATGATGCACAAAATTTGACTGGTATGACTAACTTACTTGTTGAAGAAAATTTGCCTTATTTGTTTTCTGAAAGTCTTGCTTTTCGTGATTATGCACAAACTTATTTAAATCCTCAATATAGAGGTTATACTCGCAAAACGGTAAAGAAAGAAATTTCAAGGCTTTATGGTGCGGAAAAAGTAAGGTTACAAAATTATTTTGCAAACTTTAATGGGCGTGTTACTGTATGTTCTGACATATGGGGGATACTTATCATAATTTACATTATTTGGGCCTGACTTTACATTATATTGATAATGATTGGAATATGCATAAACGTGTTCTTGCTTTTCGTGAATTTAATGATCGTCACACCGCTGAACATATTTATATTTTGATTGAGCGTATTTTAATTGAGTATAATTTAATTGATAAGATGTTTGCTATTGGTTTTGATAATGCTACTAATAATATTGCCGTTATTCCTAGATTGCGTAAATTGTGTGGTTCTACTTCTTTGATGAGTAGATTTTTTCATCAACGATGTGCATGTCATGTTATAAATGTATGTGTGCAAGATGGTCTAAAAGCGTTGGGAGCATCTTGGAGGTAGTCAAGGGGGGGATTAGACGTATTTGGGGTAATGGTCAACTTAGAAAAAAATGACATGATTATTTGATAGAAAGAGATGAGAAATATGTGGCTTTTCCTAAAGATTTGTCTATTCGTTGGAATAGTAGTTATAAGTTAATTGCAGTTCTTCTTAGATATAAACAACAACATGTGACTACATTTGACAATTAAGAAAAAAATACAATATGAAATACATTTTGTAAATTGTAATCAATCAGAACTTCCCGCACCTCTCGTATCCGTGTGAAACCCCCATGGTACACTTTTTCCCGCACCATTTGCAAGTTGCGTATCACATCTCGGTCCTCGGGTCCTTCAATTAACTTATCTAAGAAGTTAATAAGCATATTAAGTCATTTGACAAAGCCAAAGGACCGGGAGGTGCGATAAGTTCCGATTGATTACAATTTATAAAATGTATTTCATATTGTATTTTTTTCTTAATTATCAAATGTAGTTCCTATTTAATTTCAAATAAATGCACTTGAAGTTTGTTTTTTAATACTTGTATAAAATAAAACTATAAAGTATACTATCCTCCGTTCCATAAAAGTTGCAACAGTTTGACTTTCACGTTTGCCAACGCACAACTTTGACTGTAATTATATTTATTAACGTATTAGTAAACATTAAAAAAAGTTAATATAATGGAAATTTACATTAATACAAATTTATTAATATTTTATACATAATATTTTTATTATATATATTATTAGAAAATCGTAGTAAAAGTAAGGTATGTGAATAGTGCAAAAATTCCAATGTTGCGACTTTTATGGAACGGAGGAAGTATATTATAAAAAAAATTGGATTTAACCGGCCCGACCTGCCAGCTGGCCCAACCCGTGACCCGGGTGGGTGGCCCTACCCGAACCTGAACCGCCTTTACCTCGGGCTATAGTGGTCCCTTTAGCATTTTTCTGTGTTTTCTTGAGTAATAATAAGCGTTTCTGTTTCCCTATGCTTCGTCCCAATTGGCTGTGAAGTTGCCGACTTTGCTATATTCTAGCCGGCCATAGAGGAAGCCTTCTTATCTCGCAATTGGTTTCCTCACCAATTCTCGCTTTCTCAGATTCTTCCAAAATGAGAGTTCGCACAGCAGACGCTTTCACTTGCAGGCTTGTACTTCATATTTCTACTAGTTCAAGATAATTGTTTTTCTGATCAATTTGTCGATTGTTGAGTAAAACTGCACTTTTTTTAAAAAACTCTATGGAGTCGAAGTCACAGTCCAGATTTAGCCTCGGCAGGCAATCTTCTCTTGCGCCGGAGAATGATGGCGACGGCCGCGGCGTGGATCCCGTTGTCCATGATGAAGTTGAAGCAAGCATTGATTCGGGGATAAGGTTGATGTATTCCGCTAACGAGGGGGATTTGGAGGGAATGAAGGAGCTTTTGGAATCCGGAACCGGCGCGAATTTTCGTGATATTGACGGACGGACTGCGTTGCATGTGGCCGCCTGCCAGGGCCGTAAGGATGTGGTGGAGCTGCTGCTAGGTAATGGCGCCCAAGTCAATGTTGAGGATCGATGGGGCAGCACGGTAATTCCACAATCTCCGTAGAAGACTGTTTACATTATATTGTAGCCTAAAGATTACTGAATGATGTGAGTTTCTCGTTTCATAAAGATTTTATTTTTATGATGATGACTAGTTACGCAATTTCAGGCCACACCTAGAATGTTATAACTAAAGCTAGTTCTTTCCACTTTTGGATAAATACATTGTATGCTAATACCCTTGTGTGTGTTTCTTCTTTTCACAATTCAATTGGAGGTAAGGTAAACCCTAGATTGAGATGACTACATATTGATTTAGGTTTCACTCGCCTAGAGTCTAGACCTCTCCACTAAAGAGACTCATCACTGAAGTTTATTAAATGAATAAATGATTTGAACATGTAGCAGCATAAGAAGTTATTGTCATATTTCTAGTAGCAGATATAAGAACTTGTACTCCGTTAAGATTGTAAAATGTGCTGCTGGATGATTAGCTTGCTCAGTAACTTGACTAGGACCACTAGGTTTCTCACACTGTGAGTACATAACATGAACAATTTAGTATTAAATATAAAATTAGCACTCAGTTGGATGCATACAGTACATAAATGGATTGCATCTGCGTTGGGTCAGAGGGTTAGATCTAAAGTTAAGGTTTTTGACCACAGTATTTTCTTTCAATGCTTAGCTATTGACTGTTGTAGTTCTCCGTGTATGCAGAAGTATGGAATAGAATATGTGTCCTCTTAATAGAGGAGATGCAAATATGCAATCAATGGCTTGTTCTCACATTGCTGTGGTAAATGAGTTTTGCGTGAGATGCACGTGGTTATGTCATATTTGAGCCTCAGACTGGACACATTTTGAAATTGCATATTGCGTAGTTGAGGCATTTTATTAAGATTGCATATTGTGTAGGTCTCATTGTGAAATGAGGCTTAATATATATAGATATATACATCTATATATAAATGATAAAAAATAAAACAAATTATTCATCAAAAGTACACAACAATCATATTAAAACAGATAATTATGAGGCCATAATTTCATAATCAAACATTAAATCATTTACATTGACTGAAATTTTATAATCATAAAAATAAAATCATACATATAATATTTTTCATTTTCATTTACCCCAGTGCCTCAAAGGCTCCCACCTACGGTGAGGTAAGGGGGGTCGGATGTACGCAGTCTTACCCCTGTATTAAAGCACAGAGAGACTGTTTCCGGATGAAAAATCATACATATAATATGTGAGCGTATAAACATTATGTATAGCCGATACAAATTCTAGAGAAAGGTATGGAAAATCAAAGAGCTATGTAAAATTAAAAATCTACAAATTGAAACATGTATACAAACTATACAGCAGCATATTAACTCATATATTAGAGCATTATTATGTGGAAAATGACAATAGAGCATTATTATTATGTGGAAAATAATTATAGAGGACAAGAAACAAGGTTGTTTGTATATCTAGCACCTCATGGAATAACATCAAGTGTTCACAAAGACACAAACTAATCTTTTCTTGTTAAAAAAACTCAAAAACACAACAGTGCACCTTGCTGAAAGAGTGAAAGCCTGAAGAGTGAACTCAGGAAGAATGCGAGTAGTAGGACCGGAGGAGGCTGTGACTCCTGTAGTCCTGTGAGTCACAACATAGGGTGAGGCAGTACCGCTGGTAGAGGAGAGGAGGCTGTTACTCCTGTCAGTCGAGACAGACTACGTATGCACAGAGGAAGAACGTGAAGGGATATGCCAACATTGATTATAAAAGTTAAAAGTGGGCCGTGTGGGTAGGGCTGAGCATAAACCGGTACAGACCAGAAAACCGGACCAATCGGTCCAGATCGGACCCGGACCGGTTACATACCGGTCAGGTCTTTGGTCCTAGGATTTATGCTATTCCGGTTCTGGTCCACTCCGGTTTAAAACCCGGAATATTCCGTTTCGGACCAGTTAGACTGGAATTTAAATATTATTATATACAAACACATTTATACATACATACCTACATATATTAAGTTATAAAAATCTTTAGGTATTAACTCAATTTGCACATTATTTACATATTTAGATTAATAAGCTTTTATAACCTCAAACATTCAAATCTAGGCAGATGCTTTTTATGTAGTATTTACTTAGTTTATCTTGTTTTGATGATGTTACTTATGTGATTTATTGAGCTATTTTTTATTGAATTTGAAAAGCTAATGAATTAAACCATTCATTGAACCAATCGAGAAATACTATTAATTTCGTGTATTAATACGATTACATTAGGAGATTTTTTAGTTCTAATATAAAAGATAAAATGAGAAAAGATCATACATAAAACGCCATAAAGATATTATAGAAAATCCAATCTAAAAAGGTCATTTTATAAAAACAAAAACTACGGAGTATTTTAAAAAAAGAAAACATCTAAAAAAAATAAATGAAAGAAAAATTCCGGTCCGTACCGTTCTGGTCCGATCAAAACTGGAATAATCCGGTGCGGTCCGGTCTTGGACACAGTGTGGGTCCAAAATACCCTTACACCATCATCCGCTAATGCGTACGCCTTACAGCGCCATATTGCTTATGCAATATTGTTTACACCTCACTCCCAGTGCCACAGGTTATGCCTTTTTGCGCCATGTTCGAGGATTTAGCTGAACCGCACTTTGAGGCGCAATTGCATTGCAAAACTATAAACAATGAGTTTGAAAGATTTCAAGGATAATTTATTGACAATACTTAATTGACAGCCTCTTGCAGATGCAGTGCACTACAAAAATAATGATGTTGTCAAGCTTCTGGAGGCATATGGAGCAAAACACCCTGTATGTTCATTAACTTTTAGACTTCTAGTTTATTTTCATGTAATCGTGAGTGGTGGTCACTCAACCTCTGAAGTTTCTTTGTATTTTAGATGGCTCCCATGCATGTGCAAAATGCTCGTGAAATTCCAGAGTATGAAATTAATCCACATGAGCTTGATTTCAGTAATAGCGTGGGTATAACAAAGGTAAAACCTAAGTTTCATGTATGGCAGCTCAATTGCTGAAGCTCTCATTTCATTTTGATATAGTTGTAAAGTTTGCTTTACATGCATATAGGAAGGGATGGTCATTGAGGATAAGTGTGAGGGTGAATTGATTTAATCTGGTTGGGTGAATTCAACTTAAAGATTTCATAGCATGGAAGTGCTAAAGCACAAGAGACGATAGGAAGTGGTATACTTAAATTTCCTGAGGTACTGGGCTAGAAGTTATTGAGAAATATATGATATTTGAAGTCTTGAAGAGGAATTTGCTCTTAATCTTTTACATTAAGATATGATTTAAACGCCATTACATTAAATATGGAAGTATGATAGAGAGCGGGAAGAGCATGGGGCGGGACTGGGCTTGGGCCCACTTCTGTGGGCCGGGTTAGGGCTGTCTTTATAGTTTATTTGTTATTATTAAGTTAATGTTATGTTTTGGTTTGGGCTTTTTATTTGTAGAGTACTTAGTAGAGTTAGTATGGGCCTAATTAGGATTTAATTAATTTGGGCTTGATTAGGGTTTCTTGTAGAAGACTATTTATACCCCTCACCAGGGTTCATTCTTATTATCTTGGAATAAAATTGGTTTTAGCCTTTTGGCTCTGGGCAACGGTATTTTTTTATCGTTGATTATCTGGGCAACGGTTTACCCCGTTGATTTTTATTTTTCTGTTACACAACAAAGTACCATGTAATAGAGCTAATCTAGAATAGGATTAGTTCATGCCATATGTTAGGAGTGCATATGTCCCATTTCTCTATTCCACTCACATACTGTCTGTAGTACTTCTTTTATTCACACGGGTATATTGCAATTTTGCTCCTTGTTTCCATTCATATTCGTGTCCATTTCTCATTTGGTGAACCAACTTCACAGCTTTTTTCATATTATTGCTGTTGCTTTTTGTTTAGTCTTGGGCTTTGGATGACATTTTAAGAAATGCATGTCAGGGTACATTTTGCATTGCTTCATGGGGGGGAACTCAGGTTGCTGTCAAGAAGTTTGGCGAGGAGCTCTTCATGGATGAAGAAAAAGTGTGGGTTGGTTATAAGCTTTTAATGGTGATATTACATGTTTTCTGCCCAGCAGTTATTTTTACGAATCACAATCCTGGATCCTATTTCGTTTTATTTTTCAGGCAAGCATTTAGGGATGAGCTTGCATTACTGCAGAAGCTACGCCACCCAAATGTTGTACAATTTCTTGGTGCCGTTACTCAAAGTAGTCCAATGATGATTGTTACAGAATATTTACCCAAGGTACTATTTTGTTTTAGCATTAAACTCTTTGTTACATCCAAATTATACATAACTGGGGTTCTCAGGCGTTTTGAATTGGTTGTTTTGACAATTTTCCCCAAAAAGCAAACAAATCATTTCTGGATTCATGTATCTGTGTACAGGGAGATCTTCGTGCATTCTTGAAGCGAAAAGGTGCACTGAAGCCCATAATGGCTGTCAAGTATGCACTGGATATTGCAAGGTTAGCAGAAACGTTGGAAAATGTTGAGTTTCATACTAGCATCATAGCATGATGATCTATGCCTATTGAAAGATGCTTTGATATGCATAATGATTAATTTCCCTACAGTGATACAGTCTGAAGTATAATTGAAATGATGTCCTGATCACCTCATCAGTTGGTTATGCTAATATACTGTGCATATTATGCCATAACTACTCACTTATATACTACCTTAAGAATTAAGTTATATGATTGTTTTATACATGGACTTCAAGAACACACAGATCCTATTCCTTATTCAATACTATTACAATAATAAGGTTCTGTCCAGTGTCTAATATCTATTATTTCGTGTCGCTTCTACATTGTTAATCTTTTTTAATCATGCTGCGGCAGAGGCATGAACTACTTGCATGAAAATAAACCTGAAGCAATCATCCATAGAGACCTGGAGCCTACGTGAGTTTCTTTAATATTTTACGCTATTTCTTTTTAATAGAACTATCTGTTATGGTTTGTGGTGATATGCACCGAATCAGATTTTTTTAATTCTTCAATGGAATTTGCAGAAATATACTACGGGATGACTCCGGGCTTCTAAAGGTTGCTGATTTTGGACTAAGCAAACTTATGAAATTTACAAAAGCAATAAAAGAAGATAAGCCTTTGACAAGCCAGGAGACTTCTTGTAAGTTTGAAGTATTCTCTCCAGCAATCTCTATACTTGGTTATCCAATAAGCGTTTTGTGAAGCATTGATGTCGAAAAAAGTCTGATAAATCATACAAGCAATTGCTATGTCATATTTGGTTGCATCTAGGAATCATGTTGAAGCGTAATTCAAGCATGAATCGATATGTAATAGAGTACTGTTACAAAAGCAAAGAATGCATGGAGCTAAGATATATTGTTATTCGAAAAAGTCTGTTCTGTATGACTTCTATACACCGTCAATGATCTAAGCACCTGATGTTGTTCAACCGGATTGATGGTTCCGTTATCCTTATCCCCATTTGCTCATTATAACACAACTAATTACCTTAATTTCTTTCTTTAAATGACTATTCTTGGACAGGGCGATACGTAGCTCCAGAAGTTCTTAAGAATGAAGAATATGATACCAAGGTTGATGTTTTCTCATTTGCACTAATTCTGCAAGAGGTACAACATTTTTTTCATCTTTCTTTAATCTTTTTCTCTTTTATTTTTCTTATATTCTTATGTTATTTTTATCTAATATATATGTATCTTTATCTTATCCATTTTATCTTACCTTCTTCTATTTTTCGTATCTTTCTTCTCATTTTGGCGTTGATATCATGGATCGATTCATGTTAGCCGACCCCAAAATCTTTTGGGATTAATGCTTGGATGATGATGTTGTCGTCAATGATGTCAGATTCTTTTTTTGTTTTGGATTGATGCATTGTGCAAATTGTAAAATACGACCATGCTACTTGCTTACCTCATGGTCACTACCTTAATCTTTTGATATAAATTTACAGATGATTGAAGGCTGCCCTCCTTATGCAACAAAGCCAGAAATTGATGTTGCTAAAGCATATGCTATCAATGAACGCCCACCCTTTAGGGCTCCAGTGAAGCTTTATGCTCATGGACTCAGAGAGTATGCCATGAATTCTTTGCTTTTCTTTTGTTCTCTTTATTTTTCATTTGTACTGAGATTTTGTTTTGAAGCTCTTTGGCAGTTACGAAATTAGATTCTGAAAGTTAAATAGATAGTTTGACCTGGTCTCTATGGTAGACACACTGATAAATCCTACATTCCTACACAATTTATTAAAAAAAACTCAATAATGTATGAAACTGAGTAGATCACACCTCCACAAAAAGAGTCCTTTTTGACCTTTTTAATCCCAATTCCCAAAGAAAGGTTCAGCCTGATTAAAGGAAGCTCTTGTTCCATACTACCTCCGTTCTTAAATAGATGCAACATTTTGAATTTTACACTATTCACATCCTCTACTTTGACTATATTTAGTGTATTAGAAATTTTTATGTAAAAAAAATTTTTAAATTCCTCTCTTTTTAAATTTACAAAATCTGTTTTTTTTTAGTTTTTTACTACAAGAACTACATCCGAGCCTCATTCCCAAAATATTTGGGGGTCGGCGTACATGAAATGGGAACTTGTGTGTTGGCAAACATGAAATGGAAACTTTGCAACTAAAAAAGAACAGGAGAAGTATAAGTTGCTAAAAAATGCAAAAAGGGTCACAGAAATGTTGCATATGATAAGTTTAGTTAAGTCAACAAATAAAATTAAATAATGGATCATGATTTACGAAAGTTGTACCTGTCTAAAATAAAAAAGGTGTACCTTATTCAAACATGACTGTTTTGAGGGGACAGAGGCAGTTTATGTATAACTTCATTTGATTTGCCACTGGTGCTTCTAATGTTAGAATTTTGGAGTACTTAATGAGTAATGAGTAATTCCTTATCATCAGGTTAGTTGAGGATTGTTGGAGTGAGATGCCCTCTAGTAGACCAACTTTCAGGGAAATAATTTCCAGGTTGGAAGAAATTCATTACATTCTTGCTCGTGCAAGACGTTGGAAGGTATATGGCCCCCTTCATTCCATTTGCACACTACACTATTGACTTAGACATGTATATTTGCTTATTTCTTGAATTCCTTGAATAGACATAGACAAGTAAGTCCCTGTGAAACAACATTCGAGAGATGAGATGATAATTAGTTGAATTTGGAGAGCGGGGTGCTAAATTAATTTAGGCCCGTTTGACATTTGTTATGCTAAGCAGCTTGGAAAGGTTTACCTAGTAGAAAAACTCTTTCGCAAAGTTGTTCATAAAAAAACATTACCCTGCTACTTAGAGTGTAGTTGCATGTTTTGTTGCATCAAAATTCTCTTAACTTCCTTTGCAACTTGGACATGCTTGTATTTGATATTTGGGATTGTACGCGTGTAATTTCAGGTGAGAGCGCTCAAATGTTTCCAGAATTTCGAGGCCATCCTTAAGATTGATCACTCCCATTCAAAAAGTCGATCATCTCACTCAACTGTTTACAATTAATACATACATACATTGCAGCAATATGTATTGCTGCTGCATCTCTTTTAAATCCAACACAAGGTTGATTATCTCATTGTGAATTAATTCTTCAATTCTTTTAAACACGAAATGGCTTTTGCATTAATAATATTTTTGTGAATGCACCCAACAGCCCCTTACATGCTATTATTCTCTCTAATTGCTACCTGAACTCTCAGCAACCAAACCATATACACTTCTCCCCAATTATACATTTCCAGGGTTCATTCTTGAACTTAAAGTCTAAATTCTATTTCTTCACTCTTTCCTTTCTCCTTGCCTCTAATAAAGCCTGCAAAACATGTCAAAGAGATTACAATACTATGTCAGGCTTACTGAGCTCTATAATGTTTCCCCAAAGGTATTGGAATCTCAGTTTACCATTTTGATCACTTCGTCAAATGCTTCCTGTCCATTTCTAACTATATAGTCCTTAACGTATTTCTGCGCTTCAGGGCTCATCATCTCCATGGCCTTTTCCCGTCTCTCTGGGAAGTTTGAATTTAGCTTTGCATCAACTTTTACGTATCTCCTCACGTACTTCTCGTAGATATAAGCTGCTCCATTGAAATTTGGTAGAACCAACCACATACAGAACAAAAGCTTGGTGAAAGCCCAAAATGGTAACCTGGATATTAGGAAACAGGAAACCCTAAATTGTAGGCTTGGGCCCATTAACTGAAAAACCTAACTTTTGATAGTTTGATTATATGGGTCATCCGGAAACAGTCTCTCTGTGCTTTTGTATAGGGGTAAGACTGCGTACATCCGATGCTCCCTTACCCCACCGTAGGTGGGAGCCTTGTTGAGTTTCATAATATATTCTTCACTCGATTGAAAAATGTATATATATTTGCCAAAATTCATAAGTTTGGTTTTTGGTTAACAATATAGATCAAGCCCTCTTTTCATGGGAACTACTATGTATATAGTGTGCCTGAGGTTAACTCAAGTCTAATTGTCATCTGTGTCAGAATTCGGAGAGGCACTAATTCGGATGAGTTGGAACTTAGAAGTTGATGTTCCATGCATTGTGTGCATTTGGTGTAAAATGTATGAGGTGTTACCATTGTAGGACCTTCCAACTTGATAACTCAAACAGGGTGATGAAGGAATAGAGAATCCAATAGGTTAGCCATTGCTGATCATCCAGTGTTGAAGGGCTTTCTATAGCCCGCATCGATGAAAACCTGTGTGACATAACCACGAGGGAAACCAGTGCACTTAAAATTCTTACAACTGCTTATTTGTCTGATTTTTAATTTGAATATATCATACAGTGATACTAAATAATAGGGAGAAGAAGGGTTGCTCACAGAGGAAACAGAAGCGTCACTCCTGGGCTGGCGTTCACCCAAAATGAAATAAAAAACTTAAGATAATCACATAAAAATTAAGATAATTGTAGGATGTTAATTAACTTTAAGGAAAGAGACAGTACCCCACAACTGAGTGCAGATTTCTAGCAATAATAGTGAGAGAACCCATGGCAACAGAAACTGCAGGCTTTGTTCACCTTTGATATTGATTTTTAAGCGCTTGAAATAGCTCGTATGAATTTAAACTGACCGAGTTGAATCTATATATACTAAAAAAATGCATGAATATGATGCCAGATTGCCACCAAAGAAAAGTATATCTATTTTCTTTGTCTTTAATGTGTTAAAAAGCCTTCTTTTCCTCATTGCCAAGTAAACTGGGTAGTCATGTAAGCTATACCACGTATTATTGAACAAGGAAGAACATGACCACATGAGCATCACATCCCCAATAATTTTCTTATATACTTCCCCCTTTTTATATAAAAATCTAATTTTCATTTAGTTTGAATATATACGAAGTATGTCATATTGATTCAGTAAATGGTAAACTTCTCGCTTTGTTTCAGTTTAAACTTCTCGCTTTGTTTTTTGAGTGTCCCAAACTCCGAGGTGAAGCTTCTTATTTCTATTTTAGAAAATGATACACTCTTAAGTGACAAATTAATTATCAATTAAAAATAATCCATCAATACGGATTATGTCATATTGATTCGGTAAATGGTAAACAAAGTAAAAATGAGTTTATATATAAATGAGTTGGGAAGGGAAATAACTACGGGAGAAGGCTCAAATATGACACTAAGGTATTTAATGAATTTTACACTTAGGTTTTGATTGGACCAAATAAACACTTCACTGAACTTTTTCGTTTATTATCGGCCACCCACTGACCCTCCTGTTAAACGCCCGTCTCAAGCAAAACACAAAGCAGCCAGATATGAATAAAAATATCAACACAGAGAAAAAAAGAGACCTGGAATAGTGCTTCATCAAATCACCCAACCATCCATTGTTGTTGCTCGATATCGTTATACTTCTCATGCTAGGAGAGAAGTGCAGCTGCATCTTCCTCCTTTCTCCCCCGCCACGATTGTTCTCCCTGCTCTTATCCAATTCCAATCCTTCAGCTCCACCCCAACAACCCTAGATAAAATCCAAATATGAATGCTGCGGAAACCACCGTCAGCTTTGACCTTCTTTTCGTGTTGTGCAACTATCCCTAAGCAATTCAACCACAATGTTTTTTCCACCATCAGATCCGTCCCCACATCTAATAGGTTACAGAGCTACCTTCAATTACAAGCACATCACCAGAGCAAAGGAAAAGCTAACCGTCTTCTTCGGCAGTAGGCATAGCGAGCGGAAATTGCAGGTGACTGACAACGACCAAAAACCACCCTCACCTTCAACGAATCAATCAGCGACCTTCGTCCTGGCCCAATGAGTCCCAAAGAAGTCTCAAACACTAGAAAAACTCCACAAAAATCAAAGAAACAAACCCCAATCACAATCAACATGAACAGTGCGAGTTCGATGAAAAACTCTGATTCTTGCGTTTCTGGTCCCAAATCATCCTTCCAAGCTCAAATTCAAGGTCGTAAATGAAATTAGAAGTAAATCCCGACTAAAACATAGCAAGTTCAAGGATTTAGTTGAAGGGGAAGAAGCTTGGATCGAACGAAAAGAGACGGGCATTTAACAGGAGGTTAATAGGTGGCCCATAATAAAAGAAAAAGTTCAGTTTAGTGTTTATTTGGTCCAGTCAAAACCTAAGTGTCCTATATGAGATTCATTAAATACCTTAGTGTCATATTTGAGCCTTCTCCAGATAACTACTCCCAGTTCCGGTTTAATTAAGCTTCTCACCTTCTTTATTGAACATCCCAAACTCCGAGTTGAAGCTTCTCACTTCTATTTTAGGAAATTATTCACACTCTTAAGTGACAAATTAGTTATTAATTATTAAAAAATAATCCACCTATAACATCACACTTATTATCAATGATCTTATAATTTTTTACATTCCAATCAAATTTTTTCTGAAAATCTACTCGAATTACCTCATTTAATTATTGTCTAAATAATCGTGTCATTTTTCATTGAAAAATTTAAGTCGAGATGGCGATAGTATGTGAGAACGGAAAAGGATATTACTATATACTCTCTCCGTCCCATAAAATAAGTCTCATTTTCCTTTTTGGGCCGTCCCAAAAAATTGTTCCCATTTCTCTTTTTGAAAAGTTTTGTGTGGCTAACATTCATTTACCTTTTTCTTACTCAACCACAACCATACATTTCCACTTTATTCTCACTTTCTTAAACTCCGATCCAAGTCAAAGTGGGACTAATTTTCCGGGACGGAGGGAGTACTTCGTATATAATACTAATAAGACAAAAGAGTCAAATAAGTCTTTCTACTAACTTCAATCCATCACTTAACCCTTATACTAAAAACACTGTCATATAAGTACACTTTCTTTTAAAAATTGACCAATCTACACATTTAATAAGTTTTTGACCTGTAATAGCAGGTTTTTTAGATTAAAAAACTTTAAGAAAATTGTGTAGTAATAAAAAAATATAGATAAATTTTGTTAACAAAATTCAGATCGTTAAAGTTAATATTTTTAATTTTTGCAATTATTTGTATATTCTACATCTATTTAAAAATGTTTTTACATTTTTTATTTTTCATTCTTTACATTTTCATTTTATTTTTTCGCTTTTCTGTTTTTATTTTATATTTTAATTTTATTGAATTATTTATCTACTTTTACATTTATACTATTTTTATATTATTATTACATTATTTTTCAAATTTATATGAATTTATTAAAGATCTGTCAATAGTCCAAATTTATTTTAAAAAAATAACATGCTATAAGAAGTCATATGGCGTTATTAATTACTCCCCCGTCCCGAAATAATTGTCCTGCTTTTTTTTTCGGTCCGTCCCAAAATAATTGTCTTGTTTCCTCTTTTGGCAATAATGGGTGGCTCATATCAATTCACCTTTTTCTACTCAAATCTCAACCATAACTTTTACCTTTTCAACCACTTTCTTAAAACTTGTGCAAAAGCAAATAAGACAATTACTTCGGAACAGAGGGAGTACTCCCTCCGTTCCCATTTTATCTTCCATTTCCCATGGGCACACAATTTAAGAAAAGTAGGTATTGTGTGGCGGAGAGTTGTGCAGAGGAGAGAGAAATGTGTAAGAAATGTTGTGAACCACAAATTCTTTACCAAAAGGGGAAAGTGGAAGTTTAATTGGAACAGATGAAAAAAGAAAGTTGGAAGATATAATAGGAACGGAGGGAGTATATTTTAAAGGCAAATGTACTTATATGATACTTTTTTATTACAACTTTTAGCACTATGATTATGAAATTACATATACGACAATAAGGTTCATGATATTTATTCTATACATACAAGTTAGGATGAGATTGATGACTTTTCACTTCTTAAATAATTGGAGTATTTAAATTTAATAATGATCTAGTGTGTGCATTTTGAATGAAGCGGATACAAACAATTTGAAAAGCAACAATAAAAGACCGTCATAAAATATTCAATTTTTGCTGTAGTTATGTACTCTTAAAAATAAGACCCTATCAAAATTTAATAGTCCAAAATGAAAAATGATCAAACTAAATTGTCATATACTTTGGGTTTATCAAGTGAAATCCCCTCCACATGTAGCTTATGCTCATTATCT